CCCAGGCCCTGCTTACTTGTTGATGGAGCTTCCGTGGTTCTTGTGGCTTCATGTAGCTGGAGAGCTCAATATACTGATATGAGCTGCCTCTCCCAGGAACAAGCGAGAGCCTTCTTTTGTATGGCAATAAATTCATGTGGATTACTCTTTCTTCTGTCATGCAAGAAGTACTCATGCAATCACTGCCACTTTGCAACATGTATTTCCTTTCTAAGAGATTCATTCACACAATGAGGCTCTGTGGACTTCTTTCTTTCCCTCTGCAAAGAACAAGTCCCAGCTAAAACTCGCATCACACTTTTACCCTCTGTAGGGACAGAGTCCAATAACTCTCACATTGGCTGAGAGGAGAAGGATGCATAGTAGCCTTGCCCAGCAGGAGTCCTGAGGACCAAACTTGCCTCTTGGTGTTCCAAAGCATTCTGTGTGGTTACCCTCCAGATCACTAGGGTTTATGGGCCTCATCTTGCAGTCTTTGCTCAGACAACACCCCCATTGACTTCCACAGAACTTCTGTCTGAGTAAGGACCCAGGATTTGGCCCAGAAGTTAAAAAAAAAAGCCTTCTCAGCTTTCAAATGTAGATGATTAATGTCCCAGAGACAGTGGGCAGAGGTTTGGCACACTGTACAAAACTGACTTAAAGCTGAAATTTTCCTCCTCTTTCTTAGCCTCTTTGCAGACACAGCCTTTGAAAGCCACCAGTCTATGAGATGCTGCATTGTATCCATCATGGGAACATCTCACCTGCCATAGGACTCGGCTAAGGCACAGAAGAGACCATGCAAAGGGCTGAGTCCAGGGATCGACACAAGTTGCCTCCTGTCTCTGCAAGTCTGCAAAGCTTTTTGCTTCCAAGTTTTGCATGCCACTTAAACCAAACACCGAAAACCTCCTCCTGAGATTAGTCTCTCCATTACAGTTTGTGTTGAGAGACGCACAGCTCCTCTTTCTGAAAGCCTGACTTGCACAGCCTGTCCTCCCCCAAAACCCATTCCCTTATATGCTCTGACATAAAAAGGCGTATCCTGCACGAAAACAGTGGCATGTATGACTTCCAACAAGAGAGCGTAATGCAAGGAAGCAGCTGGGCACCTGTGACTCTGAACAGCCTGGAAGAAGAAGAAATGAAGGGCATGCTGAAGCCCAGGAAATAACGCACGGTCCTCTTCTGCTCTGCACACAGCTCTGTAACCGGTGCCCTTTCCCACTCCTCCAGGAGCAATTCCCTGGCTTGGAGCACAGCACATACAAGCAAACAGGCAACCCCAGAGAAAACATTTCCAAACTGTGAAGCGCTGTGTGAAGAGACAGAGGAGGGACGAAGGGTGCAAAGCAATGAATGGACGGAGGGGGGGTCAGAGTGGCAAAGCGACGGGGCCCCAGAGAGCAGAAGGGTGATCTCCATTGGGCTCACAGACAAAGAGGATCCTCCCATGCTGAAAAAGCAGTAAGCATCAATTTTGCCAAGCTATATTGTAAGGACAAGGGGTCCAGGTGCAGCCTTTTAGTGCCTTTAAAATTCAGAAGACTCCTGAAGGAGATTTTCACTTACACGGGGAGCCACCAGCAGGATGAGAAAACACATGACATCATGACAGACTAGACTATGCCAATGCGTATCAATCTACACTCTTACTGCACAGCAAGCAAGGCAGCTTGAAGAAAGCTGACCTACGTATGAGCAATTCCCAGCCAACAGATCAAGCTCTCACTTAATGACAGTACCCTGTCCGCACGGCCACCACTTTCAGCCCCTTCCGGTGGAGAATGAGGCTCCTGAAAGCATTGCAAGTACAGGGCACAGTAAAGAGAAAACTTTTTATTCAGGGAATAAGGTTCTGTCTTGCTCAGCAGCTGTATATTCAGAGGGGACCAAGGGCAAAGAGGGATACGTTCCAGTTTCAGTCATGCTCTTGTGAATCATTAATCACCACAAGGACTGGGGAGAGGCTGTGGATTTACGTCCATGTAGCTTGTTTCAGAAACTGGGCTTAAAATAAAGACAGAGTGCCAAAATGATAAAACATGACTGAGAGAAATATACAGAAGAACAAAGTATCATCTCCTTCTGCATAATGTTCAAATAGAAAGGAGAATAGAGATGAGTATCAAAGTTATCCTACACATCCAGCACAACATCCAGAACTGTTAATGGCTGCTTCCCTCTCTGTTTGCTGACACAAAGTACTGCAGGACCGAGATCATACCCAGCTCTAAAGGCAGACAACATGGGAATTTCTGGTATAATGCTTTTGCTGGGAAACTAAAATGGTGCGGTCGGTGAAGAAGAACTTGGGCTAGAGGAAAAAAGTTCAAAATATGCCAGATTTTGCATGATACACTAAAGAAGAAGTACTTGAAAGCACAGAAAACTGCACTGAGATGGAAACAGAAAGAGATTCATTGCTGTGCTCCAGACCAGAGCCGTTAGCCAGCCAGCGAGGTCAGGTCTGGTAAAAGAGTCAAACCCAGGCTAAAAACATGTGTGGAGGGAGCAAGGGAAGAGGCAGCCACGTGTCAAAGGAGGTCATCCTGCTGCAAGAAAGCAAATGGGGAAATGAAACACCAGGCTTAACCCGAGCTGGTAGAGAGCAGAAGCTTTGAGGGAGAAAGGGAAAGAAGAAACACAGCGGCCGATGAGAGCTCTGCAACAAATAGGACAAGAAAAGGAAATGACAACTGGATCTGGAAGGAAGTCTGATGAGAAGGGGCTTTTCTTCACCGAGGAGGGTAAGAATGACTTTGAGAAGAGTGGCAGTGAATAGAAAAAACAGTAGTAATGACACGACATTTCTATAATGCAAATGGGGGTAGCAGCTTGCTAGTAAACTGGGAATGAGGTAGAAAACTGGGAATGAGGGCTTGGGTAAGATCTCTGCTTTCAAAACTGCAAGGGGTTGTGGGTCCTCCTCAAAATTAAATGCCAACACAGTGGTTTGTGGAAAACGGGATGAGAAGAAAAGAAAATCTACAGCCAGCACCATGGTGCCCTGTCTTTCAGGAAGCTCCGTATGCAGTCAATTATGTCTTTCATTTGCAAGAAAAGAAACTCTGACTTGTTGCCTCTTTAAACTCCACGTAAAGGACTTCGGTTCATGCATTGGAGACATATAACGTGAGAAGCAGATCACGCAGGGGAAACACATGAGAGAAATGCATGACTGGGCTAAGGGCTGGAAAGGGGATTCTATTTTGGATCTCAGTAAATGGACTAGTAAAGCATGGAGCTAGCCATCAAAGAATACATGGAGAAAGGGTGGAAAGAAGCCATGGACTGTGGAAACTCCTTCATAGCCCACAGTCCTGCAATGTTTTGGTTACATGGAAAACTTCAAGGGCAAAGGATTACAGACCAGAATCTGAGAAGTTAAATCATAATGAAATCTACATCACTCAAGAAAATGTTCTTTTGGATAAAACAAAACAACCCAAAACACTATTGCAGGAGGTGAAAGCAACAAAAGGGAGGGAAGATTGGGTTGGGTTGGGTTGGGTTGGGTTGGGTTGGGTTGGGTTGGGTTGGGTTGGGCTGGAAGACAACATCCAAGTATGTTGCAGGTTGATGGCTGATGGTGTTGTGAGAGATGTCCGTGGGAAAGACCATCTTTTTCAGAAGAAAAGGGTAGTGTGAATGAATTCTGGGTAAGGGAAGAAGGCAGAGAAAGAAGGCAAAACTGACGGAACAAATTAATCCTGAAGTAAAAAGCTAATTAGTCCAGAAATGTCTGATGAACTACCAAGAGTGATCCTACAGACTGAGCAATTTTTCTATTGAGCCCTGTGGTCTTTTGCCTGAAAAGGATCATGCAGCAGTGGGAAAAGAAGGAAAAGCTTGAGCATCTTGGTAACCAAACAGTCAATTACCCTAACACAGGCCATATAAGATTCTCTAAAACAGACAGACTGAGGTAGCAAAAACTGGCCTACCTTGTAAAAGCAGTCACTACATCTCCAATATCAAGAAGCAGGCATAGCAGCAGACATTCATACCAAAAAAGTTGCACCCCGTCTTCCCTTCCCCTCTGCAAACACGCAGGCAGAACAGTTCCTATCACAAAGGACTAGGTATGTCAAACTGTAGTGAATTCAGACATTGATCCATATACTACTTAATAATAACCCTGGAAAACACTGCATGCTGTTTATCTGTTCCAGGTCTAGCTTATAAGAAGTGGTCTAACCATTAATCCTTTGGATGAAAATTAGAGTACACTTGTTTTCTAAAAGTCACTGGGGCAAAAAAACACCACCAAACAAAAAACAGTGTTTTGCAGACAGGTATAAATTAAAAGCCTCTCTTCCACAGAAGTAATTATTCCCATCTAAATCCTCAGAAACTGTATTCAGCCGAACACACGACAAAAGGGGAGTGTAATGGTTCCCTATGAAACAGACTAGTTTCGCTGCTTTCTTGGAGTGAAGTTAGAGGAAGAATCCAAATGTTTTAAAAAAAAGCTTTACTTTCTAAATTGTCACTCCCTATGCTTCAGTAGTGTGGTAGTACCACATACACGTTAAAATACAATTTTTACCTTTTATCTGGACAGCACCCAGTTATGAAAACTTTACGAACACATTAATTTAATGCATTAGCCCAATGCATTTTGGGCTAATGTGCCATAACAGCTTCTAGTATTTTGGCTGTCCCACATCTGTCCTTACAAACGATCTGTGGCCCTTTAAAAAAATTAGTGAACGGGCAAAGCAGAAAATCGTATGGCCTGACCCAGTCTTACTGGCTTCACTGCAAAAGCACCGCACGCGTTCATAGGAAGGGGACTGCAACTGCACTACAGCTCCTGATCGCAAGACTTCTGTTTATAGGCTGTTTGAGGGCCTGATTCACGGTGCCCTTTGCAAACAGTCCCACCGGCTTCAGCCACTCTTCCCACATCACGTAAGGATGGAGGGGATGAAAAGCCTTTGTACCACCAGCGACTGATCTGCCCTGCCAACCACACAGCAAGCAGCAGGCTCACCCAGAGCACCTTGGCCTACCTGTGGCACAAAGGGCAATGAATGTTTGTGCATGCTTCCGGATCAAAAGCAACTTGTCTTTCGGTAGAGGCAGCTTCCTTAGGATGTGTTCAATGAAATCGTGCGGGGTGACAGCTGCGAGGTTCCACTTCAACTTCCCCAGCACCACCAGCTCCCATTCCTGCAGGAGGGGACAGGGAGAGGAGCAGAAGAGAAGAAAAGCCATAAGCAAGCCTGGAAAAAAAACCCACTTTGCTTATTTCTCTGATTGTAATTATATCACTGCTAAATTGGTTTTGCTCAAACATTTTTTTGTGTATGCTCCTACTGCTTTGAAGTTGTTGACTTTATTCTTTTTATTCTTTTTTTTTTTTTTTTAAACACTGGAAATGTCAAGCTCTACTGAAAATAATGAGACCTGGCAGCTCCTGCCAAGATTTTACTTTTTTTGTATCCAGTGCTGAATGCCCACCCAGAAAGTTTAGCCTGCAATTAGATATTGCCAAGGTCACTGTGGTCCTTTCCTAGTAACTTCTTTTAAATGGCTATAGTCCTTACTTCATAGCCATTTAAAGCCCTAGGGATAACCATGCACAAAAATAACCCAGATATACATTCTTTTTGTCAAAACCGGGGAACTTATCTTGACGGCATTCTCCCCCAAAACTGTGTTTAAAAGCTCCTGCAGATAAATCTGATGGTGCTTAAACTACTCCAGGACAGGCTGTGCAGAAAGGAAATGCACGTAACGCAGCCAAGAAGTAGCCTGTGTAAATTATCTGCCAATAAATCATGTAGGATCCATTCCCACATTCTTTGCACGCCCAAAACTCCCAGTGAAATCAAACGAAAGCTTGGGTGCGTATGTAACTACTGGCCATTCCCTGCGATGTCATCACACGTAGAAATGGTACCTAATCAACAGATTCAGCCATGGGGTTCAAGTAGGGCTAGACGTGCATGCTTCAACATTTAAAATAAGTTTCGAGCACCTTACAGTGCCCCGCAGAGTGAACAAAGCTCAGGCCTTGGACTCGTTTCTGTCTCATGCATCAACTATTAGCTATTAACTAAATTCCATGCACTGATTCTTGAGTCCTGATGATGCGTGAGCCTGATGGAGCCCAGCGTGGCGGGGAGCCCCAGCTAAGCTTGTAGAGCTGGCAAGTCGAAAAAAAAACGTCCTTTAATTTTGCAGCCGAGGAGACGTCAACCAGCGTTGCTGAGAAACCATAAACATGGACCCCACAATGCCATTTCTGCAGTCGTTTCTCTGAATAGATGCCCGCTTTAACAGCAAGTTACTTTCCTACAGACATTCCTACTGGATTATGACAGAGCCCTCCATAGCTTGAAAATATCTCATGTTCACATATGTAACCGGCCCCAGAAACTAGATGGGTTTTTTTATTTTCTCAAGAAAACCTATAAAATATTTGAACAAAATGGCAATTATGTCAACTAAGGACTGATCTTCCCAACATTACTAACGTGACAGACTTTGATACAGAAGAGCACTTAATCTAGAGGACTCAATACAGAGAAGCACTTAAAGCACATGCTTAAATCCACGTGGCACAAAAATGCAGGCACAAAAAGGTAGGCACGCCGTTCCACGTCTCCTCGCGCGGGGACCGCGGCACTTCCCCCAGCAGCCCGTGCCACCAGCGGGGCACCTCACGCCCGCGACGGCCATGGCAGCGTTTGCACTGCAAAGCTCTCTACTCCGCAGCAGCGTGAGCTCCCAACCCCTCCCCGGGGGGGATTCCCACTGCCTTCACCCAGTGATTCATAGGAGAAATTCTCCTGGGATTCGGCGGGCCACGCGCGTTCACCAGGACCTGCGAGAACAAAGCTATCTGGCTGAATATGCCTCTCACCGAGAGGCTCAAATGCTCGCCGAGCACTCTATACCACGAAGCGCTTTGCAAGTATTAACTATTCCATTAAATAATTTTGATTCTTTTAGTTTCTGCTTTCACTATGCCCGAATCGGTCTCCAGCCCTCCCGGGAGAAGTACCAGACATGGCCTTTTACTCAGGGGGGTGTTTAAGCGAGCTGAATTTTCATCCCACCACCTGCCTTGGCGATAACCTATGGGCAACCACGTTGGCAAAAGCCACGGGAAAAAGCCCACTGCTTTCCAAGATACAAAACCAGCCATTTCCCCGCTGGCACCTGAGCCTTCCTAGACGCCACCGACAGCAAAATCCCACCCCCCGAGCTTCAGCAAGGAGGGGAACCCACCCTTGTCCGGCCACACCACCGGGCACCGACAGCAGCTCAACCGGCGGGAGGCCCCCCCGCCATTTCTCAAGCCCTCGGGCGCCCAGCCGTCCCCC